GTTTCTACACTCGATCGAGTATTGATCATTACTCGGTCGAGTATGCGTGTAAGGGTTACTCGGGTTATATTCTGGAGTTTATACTCGATCGAGTATGGAGGTATACTCGGTCGAGTATGTGTAAAAACACTACTCGGGCAGAATTCTGGAATCTATACTCGGTCGAGTATGTATGTATACTCGATCGAGTATACGGGAAAAATTAATGACGGGATTAATTTTTGGGCCTGCGGCCTTAACCCTTATTTAGGCTTTCTTAAACCTATTTAAACATCCCTAATGTATCTGTAAACACACTAGACGCTGGAATAATAATACATCTCTCTCTCGTTCGCCGTGGACTAGCGTAATCACACCGATTGCGTGAACCACGTAAATTCTTGTGTTCTTGCTTTAAATTTATCGTTTATCTTAGCCTAATCGTGATAATTAACAACTGGTATCAGAGCTATGGCTGACGAAGGGAAGGTTAAGATCGATAAATTTGATGGTCAAGATTTCGCTTTCTGGAAGATGCAAATCGAGGATTATCTCTACCAGAAAAAGCTTCATCTACCCTTGTCTGAGAACAAACCAGAGACGATGGCGGAGGCGGAATGGAACTTGTTGGACCGACAGGCCCTTGGTGTGGTGAGGTTGTCGTTGGCGAAAAACGTTGCTTACAACATCGTCAACGAGAAGACAACGTTTGGACTGCTCAAGGCGTTATCCAACATGTACGAGAAACCCTCAGCGGCCAACAAGGTTTTCTTAATCAGACAGTTGGTGAATACAAGAATGAAGGAAGGTGCATCCGTGACAGATCACATCAACGAGTTTAATTCAATCATATCCAGGTTAGGCTCGGTTGAGATTAAATTCGATGATGAAGTTCAAGCACTACTTTTGTTATCATCTTTGCCCGATAGTTGGTCCGGTACAGTCACAGCAGTTAGTAGTTCGGCTGGAACCACTAAGCTTACCTTTGAAGGTATTCGTGACTTAATCCTTGGTGAGGATATCCGGAGGAGAAGTTCGGGGGATAGCTCCAATAGTTTGTTAAGTACTGAAGACAGGGGCAGAAAATCCACTAAAGGGGGTAACAAGAAGGGAAGATCAAAGTCGAGGAAGAGGGGTCAATCCAAGAACAGGAAGGACATCAATTGTTGGAATTGCAAGGAGAATGGACACTTCAGAAATCAGTGCCCAAAAGCCCCAGCAGACAAAGGCAAGAAGGAGGTGAATGTGGCAGAGGATTATGAAGATGTTCTAATTTGCAGCGTTGAGAATTCAGTTGAGTCCTGGATCATGGATTCAGGTGCGTCGTTTCATGCTTGTCATTGCAGGGATTTGATGAAAAATTTCAGGCCCTACGGCGGAAGAGTTCGTTTGGCGGATGATAAATCCCTGGAGATCACGGGTATTGGGGATGTTGATCTCAGTACCACTTTGGGTACAACCTGGAGGCTGAAAGATGTCAGGTATATTCCAGACCTGAAGAAGATGTTGATCTCAGTAGGACAGCTTGATGAGGAAGGCCATAACGTTAGTTTTGGCAACAAGCAATGGAAGGTAACAAAGGGAAAGCTGGTCATTGCTCGTGGGCAAAAGCATGGTACACTGTACATGGTTGAAGTGTCTACAGATGGAGCAAACGCAGCAGTTGAAGATAGAGGGATCTCTACTTTGTGGCATCAAAGACTTGGGCACATAAGTGAGAATGGAATGAAGATGTTGTCTTCAAAGGGCAAAATCCCAGATTTGAAGAATTCAAAGTTGACCTTTTGTGAGCCATGTGTTCTAGGCAAACAAAAGAGGGTAACCTTTGTGAAGACAGGACAACAACTCAAGACTGAGCGGCTGGAGTTGATTCATTCAGATGTCTATGGACCTACAAAGGTCTCTTCAATTGGAGGTTCCCGCTACTATGTTACATTCATTGATGACTCTACACGGAAGGTATGAGTTTATTTTCTTAAAAATAAATCCGACGTCTTTAACACTTTTAAGAAGTTCAAAGCTGCAGTTGAGAATGAAACAAATCTCAAAATTAAGTGTTTAAAGAGTGATAATGGGGGTGAGTATAGTAGCACAGAGTTTGTAGAGTATTGTGCTGAACAGGGGATCAGAATGCTGAAGACGGTTCCAGAAACACCACAGCAAAATGGTGTTGCAGAGAGGATGAACAGAACATTGAATGAGAGGGCCAGAAGCATGAGATTGCATGCAGGACTTCCCAAGATGTTCTGGGCCGATGCAGTGAACACAGCAGCATACTTGATCAACAGAGGACCCTCATCTCCCATTGGTTTCAAAATTCCAGAAGAAGAATGGAAAGGTCGTGAGGTATCTCTTAATCACTTGAAAGTTTTTGGTTGTATTTCTTATGTCAAAGTCAGAGATGCAGATAGTGACAAGCTTGAGGCAAAGGCAAAGAAGTGTATCTTTATTGGGTACGGGTCGGATGACATGGGCTACAGGTTCTGGGACAACCAAAGCAAGAAGGTTATCAGAAGTAGAGATGTCACCTTCAACGAGAATGCTCTTTATAAAGATGGTCTTGCAGCAGGAACAAGCAAAGGCAAGCAACCGGAAAACAAACAGCAAGTGGTGTTTGAAGGGATGACTGAAGATGACATAGCACAACCGGTCGGTTGTGATGAGACGGCTGGAGGCTCAGGGAGCAGTGGGAGCTCAGGAGATACAGGAATGTCTGAAGACAGTGGGAGTGATGAAGACAGTGGGAGTTCAGAGGCAGCTACTCCACACATCAGACAGTCCACCAGAATCAGGAGACCTCCTAACAGGTATTCTCCTTCAGCAAATTATCTATTGCTGACCGAGAATGGAGAGCCAGAATCTTACTCAGAGGCGTTGGCTGTGAGAGATTCCATACAGTGGAAGAAGGCCATGGAAGATGAGTTAGATTCACTTGACAAGAACCAAACTTGGTCCTTAGTCAAGTTACCACCGGGAAAGAAAGCATTGGAGAACAAGTGGGTTTTCAGAATCAAAGATGAAGCAGATGGGAGCAAAAGATACAAGGCCAGGCTAGTTGTCAAGGGGTTCCAACAGAAGAAGGGGGTTGACTACAATGAAATCTTCTCCCCGGTTGTGAAGATGACTACTATCAGGTTGATTCTTGGTATCGTTGCAGCTGAAAATTTACACTTGGAGCAGCTGGATGTGAAGACTGCTTTTCTTCATGGCAACCTTGAAGAAGACATTTACATGGCTCAACCTGTAGGTTTCCCAGTGAGTGGCAAGGAGAGATTGGTGTGCAAACTCAAGAAGAGTCTATACGGACTGAAGCAAGCTCCTAGACAGTGGTACTTGAAGTTTGATGGTTTTATGCAGCGGAATGGGTACACTAGATGCAAGATGGACCATTGCTGTTACTTGAAGAAATTCGAGTCATCATACATTATTCTTCTTTTGTATGTTGATGATATGTTGGTGGCTGGATCAAACATGCAGGAGATCAACAAGCTCAAGAAGAAGTTGTCCGAAGAATTTGAGATGAAGAATTTAGGGGAGGCGAGACAGATTCTTGGGATGAGCATAGTCAGAGACAAGGTGGAAGGTACTTTAAAGCTTTCACAGCAGAAGTACATTCAGAAAGTCCTTGAGAAGTTCAGAATGACGGATGCCAAGCCAAGGAGTACACCTTTAGGGAGTCAGCTGAAACTCTCCAAGCAGCAGTCTCCAAAGACCAATGAAGACAAAGATGAGATGGCTAAAGTCCCTTATGCATCAGCCGTTGGCAGCTTGATGTACGCAATGGTGTCAACAAGGCCGGACATTGCTCATGCAGTGGGAGTTGTTAGCAGGTTCATGTCGAATCCAGGGAAGGAACATTGGGAAGGAGTCAAGTGGCTGCTACGCTACTTGAAAGGCACTTCTGGAACTGCTCTTTGTTTCAGGAGGAATGGAGTAATTCTAGAAGGATTTGCTGATGCTGATTTGGGGGGTTGTTGTGATTCCGGGAAGAGCACTACGGGTTACATATTCACAATTGGAGGCACGGCGATTAGTTGGATGTCTAGACTTCAAAAGAGTGTGGCTCTTTCGACCACAGAAGCAGAGTATATGGCCATTGCTGAAGCGGCCAAAGAGTTGATCTGGTTGAAGAACTTTCTTTCGGAGTTGGGCATGGAACAGGGGGATTGCGGACTGCACTGTGACAACCAGAGTGCCATTCACCTCGCGAAGAATCCAGTGTTTCACAGCAGAACGAAACACATCAAGATGCGATACCATTTTATCCGAGAGTTGATTGAAGACGGTATCATAAACTTGAAGAAGATCCTTGGTACGAAGAATCCAGCAGACATGCTTACCAAGGTGGTGACAACAGAGAAGTTGAAGCTATGCATGGCTTCAACTGGCCTTCCAGATACTTGATGGGAAGGTGTGAACGAGAGATAGAGATCAGGGGTGTTGCAGAGGATACATGTTCTTGGATGGCAGATGACTGTTGAACAAGCCTCCAAGTGGGAGATTGTTGAAGATGGAGCCTTGTTTGGAATGCAGGAGTATATACCCGACCGGGTATGTTGGGTTACCCGATCGGGTATGAGGTGTTTGATGGGTCGAGTATTTCCCTGGTTTCTACACTCGATCGAGTATTGATCATTACTCGGTCGAGTATGCGTGTAAGGGTTACTCGGGTTATATTCTGGAGTTTATACTCGATCGAGTATGGAGGTATACTCGGTCGAGTATGTGTAAAAACACTACTCGGGCAGAATTCTGGAATCTATACTCGGTCGAGTATGTATGTATACTCGATCGAGTATACGGGAAAAATTAATGACGGGATTAATTTTTGGGCCTGCGGCCTTAACCCTTATTTAGGCTTTCTTAAACCTATTTAAACATCCCTAATGTATCTGTAAACACACTAGACGCTGGAATAATAATACATCTCTCTCTCGTTCGCCGTGGACTAGCGTAATCACACCGATTGCGTGAACCACGTAAATTCTTGTGTTCTTGCTTTAAATTTATCGTTTATCTTAGCCTAATCGTGATAATTAACAATTAATGCCAGTTGCCATTGATGATATAGAAACAAAGACGCAGTGATAACATTTTGAATAAAGATAAAATTTTATTGTGGTTAGTCTGCCCAAGCATAAATTTTGTACATATACCAATGCACAAAAGATTACAACACATAATAAGGTCTCTCTCTTCTATTCGCTCACATAATAATATAAATATGATTGTGAAAGAAAAACAGAGGCATCAACTGTAACTGCAAAGTTTAGATCTTGTCGATGTCTTCATCCTCAAACTCAATGTAATCTTCACCACCACCACCCTCTTCATCTTCTTCCAAATTGGTAACACCTTCACTCAGCCTAATGTTGTCAGGCAACTCTCCATATGCTTTTAGCAACCTCGCCTCGTCCGGCATATACTTGAGAATCACATCAGCCTTGTCATCCTGCACATTCATCACAATATCCTTAAAGTTAAGCCAATATTTTCACATCATCCACAAAGGGACCTAATGATTAGTACATTGCATTGCCAATTCCATTATTTGCTTCAAATATAAGATGTTACAGAGTAGTAGTCGTACAGCAAAGTTATTTTCAGATTCCAATATACACTAATTAATTGACATTGAGCTATTGATAACAACAATCTCTATAACTTTTTTAATAAGGTGTGATTAAAATCCAACTAATCTTGTTCCAGTTTAGATAAAATAAGATAAGATGCCAACTCACTAATGTTCAAATGTTGCTAAATCTTAAAACGGCAAGATATTTTGCACCAACAACATAAAATGGAAATAATATTCGGGCTCAATTTGGAATGTGGATACTGCAAAGGACATAAAAGATGTGAGATACCACAAGCAATCTATTGAAAGAAAGAAACATGAAGGAAACTAAAATACTAATTCAAACTCAACAAGTTTTGCATTCATTATTTATTATTTAAAAATGTCAATTATTAAACCAATCAATTGAGATAAACATAATACTTTATAATACTTATGGCGCAATATAAGAATTTTTAGATGAGGCACAGATTTATTAAGGCCTTACTTTATCCGGAAAAACTTAGGGCCAAAAAAACTCATTTTTTACGACTGGACTAAGACAAACACAAGTCCTATTGTAAGAAGTGACAGCAAATAATACAGAAACCCAAACATATGAAAATAATTTCCCTTGGTAACCACAAAAGGCCTCAATGAGCTTAAGATCTTGACTGATATTCAGGGTGGTAGTAAAACACCTCTTAACTGAAAAAAGAATATGTAATCACACAATTAGCATAATGAACTTAAAAATAGAAATCTAAAAGAATCAAGATATTGAAAACGATGCAAGAATTTATTATTAAGAGTAGAACACAAAGCAGTCCATACTCCATACCAACGAAATACAAGGATTACCAGCAATAGTTCATTAAACAACAATTATGTACGGAGTATAAGAATTCACACAAAAAAAGTAGAAGTTTTGATGCGAAAAGGGCACATATCAGTATATCACTAATCACTATGATCATAATGTGAAGAGCAGCTAAACAAACTTGGAGATGTTGTGCTCAGCATATATGTGTGCTCACTCTTCTTATATGTTTATTCTTGCTCTTGAACAAAATTGCAAAAAAACGAAAAATTGAAAAAGGCACACATAACAGCCAAGCAGTAAATGTTTAAAAGGCACAATTTTTTCCACTGAAAGAAGGATGAGATCAAAATACAAATAAACGAAATTAACAAAATTTGGGACTTGCCTGATAGTCACGAAGACCGACGAGGATGATGTCACCGGCGGCGATCCAGACTTTCTTGTGCATCTTGCCGCGGATATGGCAAAGACGCTTTTGCCCGTCGATGCACACGGCCTCACAGCGGCCATTACCCAGCATACGAGCGACCTGCGCGTACTCCTGGCCGTCCTCTTTGAATACGAGCTCTCTTTTCTCGTCGTCGGCCTCGTTCTTTCCTCTCTTCCTGTTCTTACCTCCCTTTCCCTTATTCTTCGGCATGGTGGCTTCGAGCTACGAAACCTCCAACCCTAATTCGATTGCTTGAGCGAGTGGGATTCAAAGAGGGAAGAACAGAGCAAACCCTAGGCGAGATCAGATCTACTGGTGATAAGGTTTATAGAGGTTATATACGGGTCTATATGGCGTGTGAGCGCGGTTCTCTTGCGAGTTTATGGTTGACGTTATGCCTTGCGAACGCCAAATGGGCCGAGTCCCTATCAGATTAGCCATACGATACTTGGCAAGAATCGAATTCTTGTGGGAAAAGGTTTTTAATTTTAGGAAAGTCATACAAGAAGAAATTCGTTTACTTTTACCATTTTCTAAAATTAAAATTTAAACCATTTCAAAGAAAAAAGTAAATTTAAAACAAGACATTTCAGTTGTATTTAAATTTAAACATATCTTACTATTTTCTTTAACCAGTTAACTGGGTAAAAAAACTGACTTCTATCTAGGGTGTCCTTCGCTAGGATTGTATATCTCCGTTATCGGTCTCACCGAGAGCGGCTGCCGTCTAGGAACAAGGGCAGGCGGTTAAAGATGGGAAGACAGTTTTCCCAATGGTCGGTATGGTGCTCACGGATCGGAAGATAAAATTTCAGTTTCTTAAGGAGCTGATGGCATCTTTTTGGCGACCATTCAAAGGTGTGTCCATAAAGGAAATTGGAGAGAAAAGGTACATTTTTACTTTTTATCATAATTTTGATATGAGACGTGTGCTAGATGAAGGTCCATGATTGTTTGAACGTAATTTGCTGATCCTGAAAGAGATTAAGGCAGAGGTTATTCCTCTTCAGATCGGTCTGTTTGAGGCTGAATTTTGGGTTCAGATTCATAATGTTGCGTATGGTTTCATGAATCTGGGTTCTATTAGGAGAATTGGTAACTATATTAGAAGTTTCATTAGTTTTGACGAGAGTCAGTTTGATGAAAAATGGAAAGCATATACACGTATTAGAGTTCGTATCGATATAAGGAGACCTCCTAAAAAAGGAACAACATTGAAAAGGGGGGCATTAGTAAGTGGGTGGATTTTAAGTGTGAAAAATTCCCTTAATTTTGCTTTATTTGTGGGATCATTGGACATTCTGATAAGTTTTGCCCGATAATTTATGAGGGAGATACCATTACTTTTGATAAAACCTATGGCGTTCAGCTTAGAGCTGGGGTGGGGTGAAGACTAGTCCCACAGGAGAAACAAATGGCTGGTTGAAGGGTCTTCGAGTACTGGCATGGGTGGATTGCACAAGGGGGACAGTTAGGAAACAGGAGGACAAGGCTGGAAGGAGGCTACTACAGGGACTAGCTCTATTAAGAAAGGGAATTCGGTGAACCCGGAAGAGATGTCGGGTGAACAAAAGCGCAGAAGAATCTGAGAGAAGAAGGAACACGAGGAATCAGCAGGTGAGGATATGGCTCTGGACAAGCAAAAAACGGGGAGGAGGTGGGTATCGGCTAGTAGATCCGCCGGATTGCCTGAAAATGCTGGATGATTCGTGTGGACGGATTTTAGTGGTGCATTTGACGTTGGAGAAGAATTTATTTTTCTTGTGCTTATCTAGTTTTTATTTTGTTTAATCAGACTGTTTACTCTTGTGTTTTTTTTTTTTTTGCATTTGGATTGTAGGACTCTTGTATTAAGATTGGGTGATGGTAGGTGTACTTCAATCGTCTTTGGCTCAAGTATGCCCATTAATGGATCAACGAGTTATATTGCTTGTTTGAAGGCGATTAACTCTGAGTCTGGTTCGAGAGCTGACGGTTGTGTGTGGTTCCTATATCGTTTTAAAAGTCCAGGTAACTGAGTTAAGTACTCAGTAAAAGTCTAATAGAGAAAAGGTGATATGTTACCAGTTACATTGTAATACTTGAGATTTAATATAAATAGATTAATAGTACTACTAATACCAACAAGATGCATCTCCTTTTAAGGGACCTCATCACCAAGAACTCCAAAGTTAAGCGTGCTTGCACGGGGAGTAGTCATGGGATGGGTGACCCCCTGAGAAGTTTCTCATGGCGCTCACGAGTGAGGACAAAGTGCGCGGAAAAGGCTAGTAGGCATAAGAATTTTAAGAGGTTTTTTAAAAATAAAAAAATCTTTTTTGTGATGTTACAGTGAGTACAGTCTGAGAAAAGTATGTAGCTTTTAAATCAATGAGTCTCAACAACTTGTATAGTCCGTATTAAATAGAACTAGATCAAACAGTCCAGTTTTTATCAAACAACTACCATTGTTTTCAATTTAAAATTTTTTCAATCACTAAAAGCAAACAATTAATAAAAAGCTTATAAGAATATGTTTTCAACTAGTTATTTTAAACATACCCTTAGTTAATTGTTGTGCTATGAATTATGATATCACTCGTGCATTACAATGATTACATGAGATAACAAACTAACTATAGTAACTAAAAATTGATGGATTGTGCTAATTTAACTACTCCTGTTAGTTAAATTGATGGAGTATAAATCCTGAATTGACAGAGTATAAATCCTGACCCCTATTGACATATTAACATGACACTTCTTTGTAAGTAACATAATAGCAAGTTAGGAAAACTTCTCCAATTGAACACACATATCATAATGCTTCTTCATCATAGGTAGGCCTTCCATCAATGGCGATATTTCAGTCTCTTGCTTTCATTCCAGCGGTTTTCCCTCTCCTTATTCTATGAACTTAGTTATATCATCATCGGCAATTGCAATTGGAATAGAATCCACATGAGCATCAAATAAACATCACCACCTACAATATTCTCATTCTTCTTTACAATTGCTAAGAATGAACTATACTTAGAGTATTTTTATAACATCTGCAACTACTAAGAGTGAAATAAAAATTGATTTTTTTCTCAAGAAACAATGCTAGAGTTTTTGTTTACTATTACTTCTCACTTGCACGAGAGAAGTCTGTACAAGTAATCTACTAAAAGATATAATTCGATAAACCACTATAGAATAAGGTTATCACATACATCACAATCAAAATAGTAAACAATCAACATGTACATTTAAATGATATCAGTGGTCTGTCTTTTCGATTATATGCCATGTGAAATCATTGGATCAATATATTTTTGACTGAAAAAACATACATCAAATTATTTTTTATGAATCTATCACATGATTATGTCTTTCATAATTTAATCTCAACATATTTGCTAAACTGGAGTTTATAGCATAACCTGGTTAATGCCTGCTTAGTAATATCACAAAATTTGAGTGTGATAGTGCAGAAAAGAATATGTAACAAAGACCAGTTCAGTTAGGGCCATGTTTGCATCATAGAATGATTTAAATGTCACATTGTCCTTCCGGTAGTCTTTGAAAACATAAGATTGTAAAGATAGCTTTATCAAGTTAATAATATAAAAAAGGGACTATAAAGCTATAAAGAAACAAAAGCTATTAACCATCACAGAAGTTTAGATACAAAAGCATTGTTGGATGTGGGATATTTACACTTCAATAACCTCAAAGAGACATTTACACTAAAAGATAAAAATCTGCATTGAAGCTACATAATAGGGGATTAATCTGGCTTCACCATGTAACTATCCCAAGTGTAGTGTCTACTTTCTGCCATAGAAACATAAAGAACTACTAACGACATAGAAGTACTAAGTCTTCAAGCAGGATAATATGGACAAATTTCCGTACCATGACATTTGGATCAGCTCTCTTGAGTTTATGAGAAAGCTCTACTACTTTTTCCCATCAGACAACTTTCACCAACCCAAAATTCGATGCTCGGCTGCAAAGTAAAACTCAGTTATGGAAATGTTAAAATTCATAATGAAATCAAAAGGTCATTATGCATTTAGGTAAAATCATATTAAAAAATTGAATTAATCCAATTGATTAGTTAGTCTAATTAGTGGTATTATGAATTCATGTTTCTCTTTTTCCAATGTAGGACTCTTTATACTAATTACTCTTGGAAATTCCCAAAAGACGAGACTTTTTATCTGACAAGCAAAAATTCGAGTTGAGATTGTTGTACCAAAACACGGGATTCAGAATGCCAAATTCCAATGAAAAAGAAAACAAGGGATGGGGGGCATGGGTAAGGGGGTGGGTGGGGCTTACAAAATATTACTTCGTAATTTCCATTGTTTTTTGAAATGTAGTAACTTATTAATTTGTACTATTTTTTACAAAAAATATACGGAGTATCAAAATTCATAATTTTTTATGATCTTTCATATGACACCAATATGACATATATAAAATTTAAAAAAAAAATTGAAGTTTTAACAGTAGGGGTTTTTTCAGTTTCAAATTTTTTCTTAAAAAAATCCAAGTGCTAACATTAAAATTTCATTTTTAAAATAATTGAAACATGTATTAAAAGTTACTTTAACAATGAGATCTTTATTTTAGCCCTTGATACACAAAACATAGTTTACTTCACTCCATTTTTTTTTATTAATCTAAAAATATTTTCTTGCAGTTACTGTTTTCCAAAAGAGTTGTTTTCCAACAAGCTTGTTTCCAAAGGTTGAATCCCTAACCCCAAAGGTCCCTCCCTCACACTCTGGCCCCACATAGCATATGAAAGGTTGTAAATCATGGTGACTCATTTGAGCACATACGCTAGACCCGTGCTCGTTGCGCGTAAGGAGTCCCCCTAACATTGAAAGGTTGCTCTTACACTGTCGCTTGCCGGACTCGATAATGGGTCACTTGTTCCAAATTTCACGCCTATGACGAACTGGGCTTGTGGTTTTCTAACAAGCTACTACGTATTTAGTTATGTGTCATGCTGTGAGTTATGGTATCTGATCTTAACAAAAAGGCCCGAGACTTTGTAAGGAGATCAAAAAATTTTAAAAAAAAAACTAAGCATGCAAAACAGGCTGTGCTATTGATATTAAAGGAGTGTTTGGGGTTGATTAAAAAAAAGCGCTTTTCAGCTTTTGGCTTAAAAAAAGTTGAAAAGAGTGTTTTCAAATGATAGCTTCTGC